TTCCCATAAATGCCCCAAAATTCCCCCAAAATTCCCGAAATTCCCCAAAATTCCCAAATTTCCCCGAAATTCCCGAAATCCGGCGTTACCGCGACAGCACCACGGCCATGGCGTAGACGTCGATGGCGGCGTCGGCCACGCGCTTCAGGGAGAACTGCTCCTCTTCGGGGGGGATTTGGGGGGTCAGCACCCCAAAAATCCACCCCGGGACCCCCAAAACCGAACTCGGCGACCCCGAAAATCCCCGGGAGCCCCAAAATCCCCCAAAATTTGGGGTGAAAAACCCCAAAAATGGGAAAAAAACGGAAAAAATTCAGCTAAAAATCCACATTTTTTTTGCCTGAATGTGGCCAAATTTTGCCCAAAAAGCCCCAAATTTGAATCAAAATCCACCCCAGGACCCCCAAAATTGAACTCAGCAACCCTGAAAACCCCCAAGAGCCCCAAAATCCCCCAAAATTTGGGGTAAAAAACCCCAAAAATGAGAAAATTTGGGTAAAAATTCAACTTTGGGAGTCCCAAAATTCCCAAAAATTTCACTAAAATGCCCCAAAATTTGCCCAAAATTCCACCCAGGACCCCAAAAATTGACCTTGGGACCCCAAAAAACTCCCAGGACCGCCCCAAAAAATCTCAAATTTGGGGCAAAACTCTCAAATTTTGACTAAACATGGGAAAATTTGGGTCGAGTTCAGCCCTGAATTCCCAAAATTCCCCAAAATTCCCCAAAATTCCCCAAAATTCCCCAAAATTTCGGATTTTTGGTTCCTCCTCCCCCGCCCCAAATTTGGGGATCTGGGGACCCCCAAAAATTGATTGAAAACGCCTCAAAAATGGGGGGGAAAACCCAAAAAAATTCCATTTAAATCCCCCAAAATGCCCCAAAATTGTGGATTTTTGGGGTCCCCCGGCCCCTCCCGGGTCCCGAATTTTGGGATTTGCCCAAAATTTGGGGGATTTGCCCCAAAACCTCACCCACGATCCTCTTGCCGTGCTTGAGCAGCAGCACCTCGGCCGTGGCGGCGAAGAGCTCCAGGCACTGCTGGGTCTGGGGAGAGCCAAAAACGCCCAAATTCAGCCCAAAATCGGCCCAAATTCGGCCAAATTCAGCCCAAAATTCAGCCCAAATTCAGCCCAAAAACGCCCAAATTCAGCCCAAATTCAGCCCAAATTCGGCCAAAATTCAGCCCAAATTCAGCCCAAATTCGGCCAAAATTCAGCCCAAATTCAGCCCAAATTCAGCCCAAATTCAGCCCAAATTCAGCCCAAATTCAGCCCAAATTCGGCCAAAATTCGGCCAAAATTCAGCCCAAATTGAGCCCAAATTCGGCCAAAACTCAGCCCAAAATTCAGCAAAAATTTGGCCCAAAACCACCCAAATTCAGCCCAAAATTCAGCAAAAAATTCAGCCCAAATTCACCCCAAATTCACCCCAAAATTCAGCAAAAATTTGGCCCAAAAACGCCCAAATTCAGCCCCAAAATTCACCCCAAAAACCCCAAAATTCACCCCAAAATTCACCCAAAATTCACCCCAAAATTCACCCCAAAATTCAGCAAAAATTTGGCCCAAAAACGCCAAAATTCAGCCCAAAATTCAGCCAAAATTTGGCCAAACTTCAGCCAAAATTCAGCCCAAATTTAGCAAAAAATCCACCCAGAATTCAGCCAAAATTCGGAAAAAATTCAGCACAAATTTGGCAAAAATTTAGCAAAAACTCCACCCAAAATTCAGCCCAAATTCAGCCCAAATTCAACCCAAATTTGGCAAAAATTTAGCAAAAAATCCACCCAAAATTCAGCCAAAATTTGGAAAAAAATTCAGCCAAAATTTGGGAAAAAATTCAGGCAAAATTCACCCAAAATTCAGGATTCCGATTTTGGGGGTTTTGAGGTGGATTTGGGATTTTTGTGAGATTTTTGGGGCGAGTTTTGGGTTGATTTTTGGGTGGATTTTGGGTGAATTTGGGGTGAATTTTGGGGTGAATTTTGGGGTGGATTTGGGGTGATTTTTGGGATGAATTTTGTGGGTTTTGGGGGTGAATTTTGGGGTGATTTTTGGGATGAATTTTGTGGGTTTTGGGGGTGGATTTTGGGGTGAATTTTGGGGTGGATTTTGGGTGATTTTGGGGTGAATTTTGGGTGAGTTTTGGGGTGATTTTGGGTGATTTTGAGGTGAATTTTGGGGTTTTTGGGGGTGATTTTTGGGGTGAATTTTGGGGTGGATTTTGGGGCGATTTTTGGGATGAATTTTGTGGGTTTTTGGGGTGAATTTTGGGGCGATTTTTGGGATGAATTTTGTGGTTTTTGGGGTGAGTTTTGGGGTGAATTTGGAGGATTTTGGGGTGAATTTGGGGGTGGATTTTGGGTTGATTTTGGGGTGGATTTGGGGCGATTTTTGGGATGAATTTTGTGGGTTTTGGGGGTGAATTTTGGGGTGAATTTGGAGGATTTTGGGGTGAATTTGGGGGTGGATTTTGGGTTGATTTTGGGGTGAATTTTGGGGATTTTGGGGTGATTTTTGGGTGATTTTGGGTTGAATTTGGGGGTGGATTTTGGGTTGATTTTGGGGTGAATTTTGGGGCGATTTTTGGGATGAATTTTGTGGGTTTTGGGGGTGAATTTTGGGGTGAGTTTTGGGTGATTTTTGGGTTGATTTTGGGTGAGTTTTGGGGTGAATTTGGGGGATTTTGGGTCGGCACTCACCTGCTGGGCGCCGTCCTGGAGCTCAGGGTGCACCAGGGGCTGCAGCGAGAGCCCCGAGCCCAGCCCGGCCTTCCTGCAACAGAAAGGGGATTTTGGGGGAAAAGCGGCCCAAATCGGGATTTTGGGGAGAAAAACGGCCAAAATAGGGACTTGGGAGAAAAAATCGGGATTTTGGGGAGAAAAAAACAGCCAAAATCGGGATTTTGGGGAGAAAAATCGGGATTATGGGGAGAAAAATCGGGATTTTGGGGAGAAAAATCGGGATTTTTGGGGGGAAAAAACAGCCAAAATTGGGATTTTACTAAGAAAAAATTGGGATTTTGGGGAGAAAAAAACAGCTAAAATTGGGATTTGGGGGACAAAACAGCCAAAATTGGGATTTTGGGGGGAAAATTGGGATTTTGGGGGGGAAAAACCAGCCAAAATCGGGATTTTAGGGAGAAAAAATTGGGATTTTGGGAAAAAACAGCCAAAATTGGGATTTTGGGGAGAAAAAAAACAGCTAAAATTGGGATTTTGGGGAGGAAAAAATTGGGATTTGGGGAAAAACATGCCAGAATAGGGATTTTGGGGAAAAACAGCCAAAATTGGGATTTTGGGGGGAAAAAGTGGGATTTTGGGGAAAAAAACAGCCAAAATTGGGATTTTGGGGGGAAAAGCAGGATTATTTTGGATAATTTGGGCTGGTTTTGGTTGATTTTGGGTGATTTTGGGTTGTTTTGGGTGATTTTGGGTTGTTTTGGGTGATGTTTGGTGATTTTGGGTGATTTTTGGGTGGTTTTGGGTGATTTTGGGCTGGTTTTGGGTGGTTTTGGGTGATTTCAGGTGAATTTTGGGTGGTTTTGGGCACTTTTTGGGTGGTTTTGGCTCGTTTTGGGTGGATTTTGGGTGATTTTGGGCAGTTTTGGGGCAGATTTTGGGTGGTTTTGGGTGAATTTGGGGTGTTTTAGGGTGTTTTTGGCAGTTTTTGGGTGTTTTGGGGCAGATTTGGGGTGTTTTGGCAGTTTTGGGCAGTTTTGGGTCAGTTTTTGGGTGGTTTTGGGCAGATTTTGGGTGATTTTGGGCAGTTTTTGGGTGATTTTGGCAGTTTTGGGTCAGTTTTGGGGTGTTTTGGGCAGTTTTGGGCAGTTTTGGGCAGTTTTGGGTCAGGTTTTGGGTGAATTTGGGGTGGTTTTGGCAGGATTTTGGCAGTTTTTGGGTGTTTTTGGCAGTTTTTTGCTGTTTTGGGCAGTTTCTGGGTGATTTTGGCAGTTTTGGGTCAGGTTTTGGGTGAATTTGGGGTGTTTTT